GCGTAGAGAATTGCTATTGGATTATGAACGAGCTGACGTCAATCAATTTGTACTTTGAATCAATCAGGTGCCAACCAGAGTTAGTCATAAAATTGAGAATGCTGTAATTTTTTTTAACATTGGCAATGTTTTTCATACAAATATGTTTTTTTTTTTTTTTATTAAAATATGTTTTTTTTTTTTAATTAAAATATGTTTTTTTTTAATTAAAATATGTTTTTTTTAATTAAAATATGTTTTTTTTTTAATTAAAATATGTTTTTTTTTTTTAATTAAAATATGGCTTTCAGTTTAATAACACCATTAGGCTGGTCCTTAAAAATTAAATGAACGATCTTTTTCAGTCTTACCCCTTCAATCGGTAATACCACGGTCACAGATATCACATATAAATTTTGGTCCCGATTAGAGACGGTTAAGGCGTGTCGCACAGGGGAGAAAGTACAGATTCCTCTCTAAAATTGAAATTATTATTTTTTTTTAAATCCAATACTCAAAATCATTACTACCGTAGTCGAAGATATCACATATAAGTTATGGTCCCGCTCGGAGTCTATTAAGGCGCGTCGCAAAGGGAAGCAATCGGTGTTGTATGAATAACATTTTTACGAAAGAATTTGAATACGCATGTTACCGGCCCAAAAATGGTAGGTAAATGATCGATTTAAACTGGATTTGTGTTGATCGTCAATATCAAGTTCGATAGAATGCAAGGGTGGCTCCAAATCAGGTTCTCATAATTTTTCCAGAGTTCAGACATTTTTAGTGTTTTTCTGGGGAGTATAAGTAGCGGCCGCTGTGGTGTAGTGTTTAGCAGTACACGCTACCATTCCGCAGGGCTCGGGTTAAGGCGCGGTGCAACCCAACATCAAAAAATAAAAATACAGCTTTATTCTAGTAGCGGTCGGCAGGAAATGGCAAACCTCCGAGTGTATTTCGGTCATGAAAAGCTGCTTCTCATAAAAATACAATTGCCTTGCGACATATGTGTAAAAGCCAATCTATTATTATTATTGGTGCAAAAATACTTTGTATACTTTAAAATCATAGTCAGACAAATTTCAGCTGCTCCATGTCGTCAATCTTCCATAGACTGGACGTTTCACACTGGTAGATCCCTGAAATTTGGTTTTTGAACCCCTTGCACTATGGAAAGAAAAAAGTATGAACACTGGTAAAAATTGGCGAACTGCCTCGCCTACTACAATAGGGGCGGATATGGTAAATGTTATACAATTATACGAAATATACAGCCCTATTCTGCATTTCGACTCGAATCGAAATTTTCTCCGTTTGGCAACTTTGGTATTCTGAGTTCCGTTTCCTTTCGATCAATCTTCGAAATTTACGATTATACCTATTCTACATTTCGATCGTAGTTCCGTTTTTCTAAGTTGCAAATTTGTGGACGGAGAACGTTTCAATTGTTATTTTCGTGGGTTTAAATAATATAATTTTATAAAAAAATGTAAGTAAAATATACTATGCATGATTGTAGAAGTCATCATAAATGAATTTTCTCGATTTCTGTGTTTTCGCGAGCGGTAATACGGGCAATACGAAAAATTGGCTCAAATAATGGCAACCAAAAGGTATTTTGCGCGACATTTTCAAAGTGGAAGTCCAGGCGTTTTTGTTTACATTATCTATAAATAAGACTGTGAAATGCACTGAATACAATTTATTCTTTTTATATAAAATTAATCGATGTATGCACATAGATACATACATACATAAAATGTGAAGTTACATAAAAAAGATGCTTTTATTATTGCACTCGTTTTTACTAACTTTTTAAAAAGAGGTGCGTATGTTGTCTCGAATTCGATTTGCTATGGAAAGATAAGCTTTGTTCTTCCCTTCCTCCTGACGACTTTTAAAATGGGATTCATTTGCGTTCAAATCGTCCACTCTGTAGTAAATGCAAATGTTGTGGACTGCTCAAACAACGTTTATAATTTCACTGACTTTAAACGATGAGTAATACAGTTCAAGATGAATTCCTGATGACTTCACTCATCTAAAAAAGATCAAACATGTCCCTAAATCTCCGCCTTTCAACTTCCGCATCAGCAATCTGGGACTCGTTCTTCTCTTCAAGCAATAACGCCGCGGCTATGGATTTCATTCTTATAATTATGTATCCACTTAAATTTTATTTTTAAATTACAGTGATGCTAGGTATATTTAGTTATTTCAAAATATTTACAAACTTTAACTTCATGTGCTGCTATAGTTTGGTGGCAAATATTTCTTTGTTTTGTTTCGATTTCACACATTCCTAGGCAAACAGCTAATTTCGAAAGATGTTTTCTGTCTTCCTCTTCTTCTTTCGTTTCGATCGTAACGCAGAATACCTAAGTTCGATTCCAGCGGGGCGGAATGCGGGAACGTAATCGAAATGCAGAATAGGGCTGATAAAAAAAGATTGTGGATTGGCGACCAGCCGCTATATGAAAAAATTTTATATGACCAGCAAAAAAAGTATCAAAAATCATTCGAATTTAGTCATTTGAAATTTGCATATCATTCTACTAAATTTAAAGGGGCTATAATTATAAAACTGCTTACTTAAATATTTTTTTTAGAAATTCCTATTAAAAGGTTTGCAATTTTGATGAAACTTTTCTGCGTTCTGCTTAGTTTCGTGCACAGTTGCACGATACTTGTATTCATACAGTGCTTGTTAAAAAATAACCCATATCTTAATAAAAAAATTTTCTACAAAAAAAAAAATTAGCTTGAAAAACATTGCGAATATTAAAAAAAATCACCGAATACTCCATTTTGTGAGTAACTGTAAAAATTTCCGACAAAAAAAAATTAGCTTGAAAAACATTGCGAATATTAAAAAAAAATCACCGTATACTCCATTTTGTGAGTAACTGCAAATGGTTTAAGGAATCGGGTGATGGTAAGCGCCGGGCGGGGATACTTGACAAGCTAAACATACATACATGCATATGTACATACATTCACTCGTGATCAAACAAATAGGTTTGCGTCTTTTTGTCCATTTTTTTCTTGTTTAGTGTTTGTTTTTTTTTATAAAAGTCTAGCTCATTGTATCACAAACCTTATAGAAATTCACATTTCAAACTTCGCACAAAAATTCAACAAAACTTCAAGCTTTTTAATCAGAATTTTTATAAAGATTCTATAAGTCTAACAGCCAGTTTCACAAAAACAATTTAAGTGAAAAATGATTTTAATTTTTTAAATATTGCATGCAAATTGACAGAAAATAAGAAAGCATTTTCCATTTAAATTGCTGGTGCAACCGGCTGTAAGCGTATACAGTAGGGCGGAGTATTTGTTCGCACCAAAATTTTCGAATGAAGTGTATAGCGAATTCAAACTCTACGATTAATTCTAAGCAGTATATTGTATGAAAAAAAAAAACACATAATTTTGTAAATGAAAGTTTAATTTCGTTCAGAAAAATGTATAATACACTGATTTGGTATATACATAGTTTGTTCATCATTTTGGTTTAGAATCGAACGTAGAATTCGAATATGCCATACACCTTTTTCGAAACAAAATTACTCCGCCCTAATATACAGTGAACCAAATAAAAACTGAGACGCGACATTTGAGCACGTTTTTTGGCTATTTTTCTTAAGTTTATTTAATGTATATTATTTTTTGTGAAAGTATAGCTGATTGCTTAACAAACACCATTTAATCCATACATGCTCAAATATTGCGTCCCAGTTTTATTTAGCTCACTGTATGTATATTCATGAATAAAGAAGAATGTACATGTCTGCGGACTTTGACAAAACCACCATTATGCTTTCTGTAGGTTGGAATTTTGAGTAAGTAATAAGGAACTTCCATTTAAAAAATTTACAGAAAGATTTATGATGAAATCGCGACCCTGGCTGTTTTTAGCTCGTGGCTGGGAGACAGAAATTTTTATAACACTAGAATCCTCTCGGAAGTAAAACTTGAAGGTAGCAATTGAGCCCAATGTACATCTCCAGTATACATATTTATCTTAATTGCACATTAAAATATTTAAATATTTATTAGAGCTAAGCCAACGGAATTTTAAGGTTAATGAGAGTATTTAAAATGAAGCATTTAATTTTGACGAAATTGCTCAAGTGGGCAGCCTTCACTAAACTGTGGTGAATTTCTCCTATAGCTTTCAGAGTTGATTGTAGGAGCATTCAATTTAGAGAGCGTTGTTTTTTTACAAATTACACTTGGTGTTGTGGAGCGTGAAGTTGGAGATGGAAGAATCGGATACTTTGCTCACTGATGTTGACTTTAACAAGCACTCTGCTTTTAGTTTATTGCCAGCTTTCGTTGCGATCCGGTGTTCGCGTTGTTTTCAGCTTGTCGTCGTCGTTTAAAATACTGTATTTTGAATAATTGCCAAAAAAGACCGAGGCATTATCGAAATCTGGCAAAACAAAATTCTTATACGTATAAATGTTGACATAATTATAAATGTACTTTTTTAAATAGAACAAATTATTTTAGTATTAATACACAGCGAAATAATGGGTCAAATTAAAAGTGAGGTAAGCATCGTCTCAAATCAAAGATTTACCGTGATGTGGCAAAGATATAACTGAAAACAAAAGAAAGAAATAAGTCAAACGCCGCCGTTATTTTGTCAAAAGGTTACTATGTATTTATCGCATACATTTGAACAACCATAAGCATATACAAATTTATTAATGTGCCAATTGATCAACGACAACAAGTGAAAATCCATACATTTGTGTGTATGTATGTAACTAGAGTATGTAAACTAGAGCACACCTTTGTTTAAAATAAAGCGCCTTAGACCCTAATTTAAAACGAAATGATATGTACATACAAAAGCATTGGTACATATATACAAACATGTGTATGTATATCGTCTTTAAAAATTTATCAACTTTTTAACTGAACCGTAGTTAACAGTAGAACTCTAACCAAATGAGCAATGACCTCCGCCGTCGTTACGTCCCATAAAATGATCCCGCTCGCATATACATACAGGCTGCGTTACGGTGAGTGCCTTCGAGCTATTTGCGCTGAAGCCAAAGTTTTCTCTACTTTAGTCCATGACAGATGGTGTATTTATTAGTTCACCATCCGTGTACCTTCATAACCACGATCATGCGAATAATGCATACATTGTATACTTACATACATACATATGCACATGGCTAGTATGTACATATGTATGAATACCAAACAAATATTCTTATATGCTTTCGCATGGAGAAAACACTTGTTCACACTTACATAGTAGCTACTAGCTATGTACATACATATGTATGTATGTAGTAGGATTACTTTCGCAGTATACATGGGTCTATACAAACATACATACATATGTACAAGTAGGCATGCCTGACTAAATTTTCTCCATCAGAGTAATAAAAGTTGTATTTAAAGTCATGAAAAGGTGGTTTCAAGTTACATTTAGAACAAAATACATATGTACATATGCACATTCTGTACGTATACATATATATGTATTCATGAATTTTCAGATAATTACCTTAAAACCCAGTGCATATTACTTTCGGAAAGTCATACATATTTATGTACATATATGCCATATATGTACATAGTTATGTACTTGCGTACGTAGGTATGGATCTTGTATTTACATACATATACATATACATATGTATGAATTTAGTTATTTACATCTTTATAGTACATGCAAATATTGCTGACGTGTAAATATTTAATACATCAGTACAAAAATTCGTAAAAGCCACAGAATATGCATACATACATACATATATATATAGTACATAAACTACTGTTCTTGCTTTCTTCGCGCGGTATTTTTATTTCACTGCTCTAAGCGATCTTTCGGAACGCTGATGCTTTGTGAAAACTTAAATATTTTTTCTCAAGTCAAAAAAGTACGGCAAGAGTTGGATGTTAAGTATAGAAACTAAGTAAAAAATTTCACTATGCACCCCAATGGCGTTGGCAAAACAATGAAGTATCTAACAAAAACTTTGAAGCATCCCAACATTCGCACAAATGTATTGTCAATGGCAACCGCCACGATCAAAACCAAGCCAGAGTACAAGATCGTGCCACTGAATAGCGGTGTAAGTAAACAATGGCAAGACTTGTGGCAATTGTACATATGAACATACAGTGGTTCAAACAAGTGTTCGCGTGTGGGCTTTTTTTTAAATATTCACGACGTTTTTCAAGTTAATTTTTTTTTTGTTATTTTTCAATAAAAACCTTGTCCAAACCATATCTATAAAAAAGTTTCATCCAAATTTCGACCTTTTTAATTTGAATCTTTACAACATTCTTTGGTATGCAATTTTATAGCCCATACATAGCAAGTCTCAAGCGGCTAAAAATTGCGTTGATTTTTAACAATTTTTTTTACGGACGGTTTTCTGCACTTTTTCCACTTTATTTCTTATGAAATAAAATGCCAGAGACCGTCCCCAACAAAATTTCAAAAAACAACGCCAGTTTTTGTAAATTGCACTTGTTATATATAAAAAAAAAACGCCAAAGCAGTCACCAAAAAAAAAAAAATCTCAAAAATCAACGGGATTTTTCAGCCAGTTAAGACTTGCACTTCATTAAAATTGTATGGGCGATAAAACCGCATACTGCAGAAATGATGTAAAGATTCAGATTAAAACGTTCGTTATTTTGTTAATTTCCAAATTTTGAACCTTTGATTTATATGGCTAAAGCTTGGACAATATATATTTATAGGAAAAAAAAATTACTTTAAAAACATTGTGAATATATAAAAAAAAAAAATCAACACGCGAACACTTGTTTCAGTCACTGTACATATACATATATGTATGTACATACATACAGTGAATGTGGTTCGTATTCATATTGATGCTGCTGGATCGCAAAGCCAACTACACAGGTTCCACCAAAGCAGAAACTGGTAAATCAGCCTGCAAAAAAGAGAAAAGACGGAAAAGTTAAATTACCACTTTTCTTCCAACAAAAAGAAAAAAATAAATGTTAATGAAATGATTCAATGTACAATGTTATATACATACGTATCTATGTATGTGTGCATGTGTATAATGTGTGCTTTCGTTGATGTAAGGAACAAACGCACCGTTCCGAAACTTTTGAGATGATTTAAGTTCAAGCACCTTTGAACTCAACGAATTTTATTGGCGCATTTGCATTCATTAAATACAGTCGTCCACAAAATAATAGTAACGCGATATTTTGACCAGTTTTAACTATTTTTCTTTAGTTTTTTTACTGTTAAAATATATATATTTTTAAGTTTAGCTCATTATCTAAGAAAACCCACACAAATCCAAATTTCAAACTTTGTGAAAAATTATATAAAAATTCAAAAAATGTTCACCAAAACTGCAAACTTTTAGTATGTAGTTTCATAGCCCATTAAAATAAAGTGTAAATATCAAGTGCCTACAAGATACCGTTGATTTTTGGCAATGTTTTTTTTTGTTGACGGTGCCACGCTTCTCATAAGTACATCGGACTCAATGTGCATTAATGCGAAGTATAGATGTTCATACAAAAACTCAATAGGGACTGAAGTGGACAGACGTGCGCAATAGAAAGCCATTCAAAATGCCTAACAGATAGGCGGTAGGAAGCAGCCAGGGTGCGTAAAAACAATGGCGACCTAGTTACCGATGTTCCGCAACACACTTAAATTATGGAGGGAACACTTTTCCACCCTACTGAATGATAGCCAGCACGGAAAGTTGGGAGAAGAAGAACTCGAGCACCCAGTCAATGATGACGGAGTCGATGTCCCGCCACTATGACGGTACGAATAGCAATAACGCGGCTGAAAAACAACAAAGCTGCTGGAGCTGACAGCCTGCCCGCAGAGCTATTCAAGTACGGTGGCGAGGAGTTGATAAGGTGCATGCATCAAATCTTATGCTCTGCCCAATCCACAAGAAAGGCGACCCCGCCATCCGCGCCAACTACCGCGGGATCAGCCTTCTAAGCATAGGTTACAAGGTCTTATCGAGCGTATTGTGTGAAAGACTGAAACCCACCGTCAATGAACTGATTGGGCCTTATCAATGTGGATTTAGGCCTGGAAAATCCCCATAGACCAGATATTCACAATACGCCAAATCTTGGAAAAGACACGGCGAGAAAAGGATCGACACTCACCACCTATTTGTCGACTTTAAAGCCGCTTTCGACAGCACTAAAAGGAGTTGCCTATTCGCCGCTATGTCTGAATTTGGCCTCACCGCCAAACTGATACGGCTATGTAGAAATAACGTTGAGCAATACCACCATCTCCGTAAGAATTGGGAAAGACCTCTCCGAGGCGTGCGCCACCAAACGGGGTTTCAGAAAAGGGGAATCCCTTTCGTGTGATTTCTTCAATCTGATATTGGAGAAGATAATAATAGCCACAGAACTGAACCGCCTAGGAACAATTTACTACAGGGGCGTACAATTGCTGGCGTATGACATAATCGGATATCAAAAACGCGAAGTCTAGTTGTGCGTTTTCCAAGTTGGATAGGGAAGCAAAGCGAATGGGTCTGGTGGTAAACGAGGACAAGCACGAAGTATCTCCTGTCATCAAACAAACAGTCAGAACATTCGCGCCTTGGCACCCACGTCACTGTTGACAGTTACAATTTCGAGAAAGTAGAGAATATTCGTTTACTTGGGAACCAGCATTAATACCGATAATAATGTCAGCATTGAAATCCAACGCAGAGTCACTCTTGCCAACAAGTGCTCTTTGGACTGAGTAGGCAATTCAGGAGTAAAGTCCTCTCTCGACGCGAAAACCACGCTCTATAAGTCACTCATCATGCCCGTCGCTGGTATATGGCGCAGAAGCATGGACAATGACAACATCCAATGAGGCGGCTCTTGGAGTGTTTGAGAGAAAGACTTTGCGGAAGATTTACGGGCCTTTACGCTCCAGCTCTGAAAGTATTCAACTCGGAACCCGCTGGTGGTAGCAGAGGAAGAGGAAGGCCCCCACTGAGACGGAAAGACCAGGTGGAGAAGGATTTGGCTTCACTTGGCGTTTCCAATTGGCGTCGTTGGCACAGAAAGAAACGACTGGCGTCTTTGTGAACTCGGCCAAAATCGCTTAGGCGGTACAGCGCCAAAAAAGAAGAAGAAACTTCTCAAATATGGCGAAGATATGTGTTTTTAATATGCAACTTTAATCAACGCGACTTTTAGCAACTTCAAACATCCACTTTTTTATAAAATAATTTAATAGACTATAAAACTACATATCTACCTTAAATCTTTTTAAAATGCAGCTTGTTATGTAATGTGCTAGACTTTTATAAAAAAAAAATATTAAACATTAAATAAGCAAGGAAAAATATAGCCAACACTGGTCGAAACAGGGCGTTTCTAATATTTCCGCCGCCAGTGTATGCGTGGAAATCCTATCCTACTATTTTGTGGACAACTATATATATGTACGTATGTATTTACCTATGTATTTACGTGTACATACACACACACACAATATACTAATGTAATTATTAAGTAGAGCAAGCGAGTTGGTTCCATTCACTTTTTGAAC